GAAGCTTTTTGCCGGGGGAATTTTGACGACGAAAGAGCGTTACTCCGTCTGAAAGCTTTTCATACTTACAGGATTCGGAGACGGTTTACCTTCGAGCTAGCTCGTTTTCTGTCGATGCGAACTCGCGATGTGTTCAAACGTCATGGGCTACTGATCGACCAACTTCCACCAGGGCCAATCGGTTGGGATCTCTGCGACAACGATAGTAATGAGGGCAATTCTTTTGGGAGTGACGGAGACGAAGGAAAGAGAAAGGGAAGGAGGACGAAGACGACGATGGAGGAGGAAGACATGGAGGAGTGGAAGAGTGCAAAGGGTTTGAGCCAGATTACCTTCCCCACAACAAGAAACGTAGGGCTAGGGAAGAACTGCCCAGAGATTCTCGTCAAAATGAGGATCAGAATAATGGTAGCGAACACAAGGAGGATAATAATGGTGAAAGTACTCCAAAACGAACTCGAGGTAGTAGCCTTGGTAGACACGTGCAGCTTTCTTCTGTTGCTGCCGTTTCTGTCTTTGATCCGAAGGATAGTTTAGCCTCCTCCATGCTGCCCCCTCGCGGGGTCCCAGTTCATGGCAGGTAAAAGTGTTTTGTGTTTTCAACCGCACTGAGACTGACGTCGTTTCATTGGTCAACCGGTTAGCGCGGTCGATGCTAGTAATATTCAACACACACACACATCACACACGCACACACCACGACACCAGAGGACAGACGCCACAGTGACGAAGTGTACACCTGCTGTTGCAGACCTTAAGAGCTCTAAGCAGAGGTGCACCATGCCTTGTGCGGAAGGTGAATTGTGTCTTCAACAGGACAGAACGCCGGAAGACTCTCATGGCCACGTCTGCCAGGGAGGATGTGGAGGGCGGCTCCACGGCAACTGCGGCAGCGTGTTTGACGACATCGAGACGCACCGTATATGCAGCACGTGCGTTACCAGGATTGGCAAGCGCAAAGCGGCAGCAGCTAACGGTGCTGGGGCGGGACCATCTAAACGCCAGAAGGACAAGAGCGGTGGGAGCAAGAAGGGGGGTGTTCGTGCGCGCCCGGACAACAACACGAAGCTTGAGATTCTCAAGCTGCTGGATGCGAAGGTCGCTCAAGTACAGAATGCAGAACGCTTCGGGTGCTCGGAGCGGTTTGGTAGGACTGTGAAGGCTGACCGGAAGAAGGTGGAGGCTGCGACTGCTGCAGGCGGCGGCACCCAGAAAACCGCGCGCAAGGGAGACTTTCCGGAGGTGAGCTTTCTTTTCCCCGCCTTTTTTTTCAAAATTGTTGCGGGCCGCTGTTCACTGACCTTTTTTGTTCGTCCATGCTTTTTTTCTTTTCGTCGTTCTTCATTTTTTTTTCACTGGTACAACAGATGTTGTCTCTCTTGTTTTTTCTGTCCATCGTTTGTCTGTCTCGGTTTTCTCACATATGTATGTCCGCTTTCATCCTCCTTTCCTTTCTGTGTGGCTAGTCCGCTGTTGATGTCCCCCTCGTTACGTCTTTCCTATTCTTATATTTTTTATGTACTCCGTATTATATGTACAGCAGACATAATATATATATAATCCATTCCTTTTTTTTTGTGTGTTTTGTTTTGTCTCTCTTTAAGGTACGACTGCTGTGTTGTCCCGCCTAACCGCGCCGCGCAGTGTAGGATGCACACTAATGTTCGAAACACATGGTAAGACCTTCTGCTTGTTTGCTCGTTTTTTGGCGGCAGGTGGATGCGATAGCTCTTTATCTGCTCGCCAAAGCCCGGAAGGCCAAGGTACCCGTCACACGCGATGTCCTTCGAAGCTTCGGCCGTTCCGCCAGGACAACCCTGCTGGCTGACACCGCAACTTCTGCAGCAGTAAGGGCGAGGGTCGAGGACTTCAAGGCC